AAAAATAAGGGAAAGAGGATCGATTTCATCGTCAGAAAAGGAAAGACGGGTCTACATTTCCATACGCTATGAATCTGAGAAGGATAAAAGGGAGCAATTGCATGAAATCTGTGGTAAGTAGGATAACATCTGTCACAAAGTCTTACTCATACAAGGAATATGAAGTTGAATTCGTCAGTAGTCGACTTCAAGGCGAGATTTCCAGCTTTCCTGAAGCAGATAAGAATTATCATAGTTATCAGAAAACGATTACAATATTCTACTAGTTAAAAACCAACAAAACAATTTTAATATATTATTAGTGCAATTCATAAATCTTTGCACATTTTACTGTGCAAACATCTAACTCATTCTACGCACATGTACCCATAAATGCATCTCTTTAGAGTTTAGAATGATCATCAACGCAAATTGTATTCTTATTGAAATTAATTTGATTAAGACTAATGATATTCATTAAATAGTAGTTCAGTATTACACAACTACTGTAAGTATAAAGAATAATCAATTTGAATAACTATTCCATCATGGATAAATTAGTTTTAGGATAATGTAGTAAAAAAGATAAATTATTGAATTGTCCACTCAAATTTTTACAGTTCTAATTTAATCAACACAAAATAAGTAAAGTCGTTCATTAAACGTTATGACCAATTGATTACAGGAAAAACATCTAGGCTATATTTCAAGCCTCAGTCAAAAGAAACACTACCCTTGATAAATACACTATAATTGAACAATTTAAAAGGCTATAGTTTATTTTATTCGCACATAGAAGTAGAAAATGATTTTACTAATACTTAAACAATTGAATAAAATTTATTTAACTAAAACATAATAAAGAACTAAATACTCACTACCGAAATAAAATATGAAAACATTTAGCAACAATTCAAGATCGCTTTCAGTCATTTTCAGGTACTGAAAAATATTTCAGATAATGTTCATTATCACCTCTTACATTTCCAAACTTAACAATATTCTACTATTCCGTAATGCAACTCATAAAGTGTGTCATAATTCTCACACTCCAGCGATGAATTCTACATTTCACAAAATGAACAAATACCCAAGAACACACACACACAACTCTACCCTGCACATTCGAAACCTACCTGGATAATTCCCGCAGCGATCGTGTTAACCCATTTGATTAAACACTTCTCGCTGATAGCAGGGGAATCTTGATACACATCCCCTACAACACCGTAATAGCCGCAGCGGAACAATCGCAGAAGTAAAGCAAAAAAAAAAGCCGACGATAATCACAGGGGGAAGGGGAGAAGTAGCTCGCAGTGAAATAGGCAGTCAGGTGATGAGGCTTGTGTGCGTGTGCGTTTGCGTGTGCGTCAGCGTGTGAGTGCGCGAGTACGCACGCGCGCGCGCGCATGTGTGTGTGAGAGCTAGGTGAAGGAAGAGGGTGGTCGGAGGCAGGGCAGGTAGAAAAACATCCTTGGCGGTTTCGAAGCAGGCAAGAGTTCGTGGGAAGGGGGGGG